GATGTTTCCAGAGCACTCACACGGTCATACTGTCATTTGGTCAGATGACCACAAATGATGTTCTTGGCCGTGGAGTCCAGTTGAACGAACTTCTTGACATCAGCAGCGGTGACACCTTCACCAGCCTTGGGGACGCCATTCTTGACGACATACCAGAGGTCGACATCAATGGCTTCAAGATGCATGCGCATCTTATTCTTCCAGTAGGGATATTCAGTTCCATCAAAGACTAGGCACGCAACGGAGACTTTGATTATCCCTGCGGTCGACATAGCTAAAACTCCAGGTGGTTAAACCGAATCACACAGAACAAGGGAGTACCTTGCTCTGATACCAATTGAAAGTGCTAGTGATCGACTAGAGGGGGGTGAATAGGCGATTTTTAAGAAAGTCTTCAAAACATGGGAGTTTCGAAGACAAACGATAGAAATAAATCTATTACCATGCAGCGGAAGGTAGACTACACTAAGCAAGCCATAGTCAAGTATTCAATGTAGTGAAAGCACAACGACTAATAGCAGCTAGGCAGTATAGATCAGGTAGGAGGATAGTATGAAGCCAATTAGAACAAGCAGTCACTCAGTGAAGACAAAAGATAATGCAAACAGGCAATGACTTCACAAGGACCAACTGTAAATAAAGAGATGGGAAGGATAGAACCAGTGGCTCGTTGAAGACAATGATTTGTTGGACCAGTTCCAGTTGCTGTGACAACTGTACGTCTGGGTAGGGAGGCTGAGATTCAAGTCAGAAGACCGTGTCTTCACTTTATTCCCCTTGAGCTAAGGACACCCAGTCCTTGCCCAATCACTCTGGTAAGTCTTCGAGGTAGACTTCCAAACCTTCACAGACTTCGTTCACCGGCGATCCATAATGACTCTTGGATGCCCAGAACGCGACGCCTAACCGTCTGGAGGATTCACAGTCCTCAAGTGTAACAAGTCTTCAGATCACACAGACAAGAAGACTTCAGTGATGCCTAACACTCTTTGGCTCTGAGTGTTTAGGGCTTTGTCCTCGCAAGGAATTCTCTCTCAAAGGCTTCGAGGTGGGTTGCTCTCAAACGACAAAAGCCATATACTAACTCTGAGCAGTCAACCGTTTATGGTTGTAGGGGGTGGGCTATTTGTAGCCACTAGGAAACCCAACCTGATTTGTCTGAAATGACCCTGGGTCACTAAGGAACTAACACGTGTTCCAACGGTCAGATTTCAAACACACACGACAACTTTACTTGGGCTACAAGCAAAGCTGACTTATCCAGCTCTGGATAAGATTTGCTCTCATTGTCTTCGCTCGAAGACATAGGATTTTGGTTAAGCATCACTTCAGTCATTCTGACTGGTTCTCTTGGACCCCACTCAATAGTACGGTGGTTCCTATGACTCAACAAAGAAGAAAAAGAACGACGAAACAACTAAGTCTTTGCGCTCCATAGTCTTCACGCGATGTCTTCTCTTGTCATAGTCTTTAATGTGAATGTCTTCACATACCACCTTTGACTTCAATGTCTTCATACATTTTTAGGGGTCATCTCTAGTAAGAAAACCAAATCAATGAGGGACTTCTACCTGTGTTATCCTGCAATTCTCACAAACACATTAGGCCCTCAACCAGGTTTGTCGCCAATACTCCAAAACCAACTAGGGGTGGCACTAGATGCACTTACAATTTGTCACTCTGAGTATCAGAGAGGTATCTCTGGGCCCTCTCGGTAATGCACATCACTATAAGCCTTGCAAGCAATATGACTAATGAGTTAGTTACGGGATGATGCATTACGGAACGAGTAAAGAGACTTGCCGGTAATGAGATTGAACTAGGGTCCGCACGCTTAACGTTCGGTGACGATCGGTATTATGAGTTTATGTGATTTGATGTACCGAGGATAATTCGGAGTCCCGGATGTGATCACGGACGTGACGAGGAGTCTCGAAATGGTCGAGACATAAAGATTGATATATTGGACGGCTATATTCGGACACCGAAAGTGTTGCGGATGATTTCGGAGAAAACCGGAGTGCCGGAGGGTTACCGGACCCCCCCCCCTAGAACTATAGTGGAGAGAGAGGGCCTGCCAAGACAGGGCCGCGCGACCCTCCCCCTCTAGTCCGAATTGGACTAGGGAAGGGGGGCGACGCTCCCCTTTCCTTCTCCATTCTCCTCTCCTTCCTCCCCCCTTCCTCCTCCTAGTTGGACTAGGAAAGGGGAGTCCTACTCCTACTAGGAGGAGGACTCCTCCCCTCCTTGGCGCGCCCCAAGGGTCGGTCGGCCTCCCCACTTGCTCCTTTATATACGGGGGCTGGGGCACCCTAGAACACACAAGTTGATCATTGATCCCTTAGCCGTGTGCAGTGCCCCCCTCCACCATAATCCACCTCGATCATATCGTCATAGTGCTTAGGCGAAGCCCTGCGTCGGTAGCTTCATCATCACCGTCATCACGCCGTCGTGCTGACGAAGCTCTTCCTCGACACTCAGCTGGATCGAGAGTTCGTGGGACGTCACCGAGCCAAACGTGTGCAGATCGCGGAGGTGCCGTACTTTCGGTACTAGGATCGGTCGGATCGTGAAGACGTACGACTACATCAACCGCGTTGTCATAACGCTTCCGCTTACGGTCTACGAGGATACGTGGACAACACACTTTCCCTCTCGTTGCTATGCATCACCATGATAGATCTTGCGTGTGCGTAGGAAAATTTTGAAATTCCTGCGTTCCCCAACAGGGTCTTCACCAGTTGAATCTTTGTCTTACATGTTGGTTCCTCTGCAAGGTGGAGATTGTTCTTCTTCTTTCCTCACGACAACAATGAGCGATGGTTTGTACCCTCGCCCATGGAGCTCTCCACGGTGCATCCTCGTTCTCATATTCCGGGCTGCTCAAATGGCTTCAAAAACTGTGAATGCCGAGTAGGTGGACAACCAATTAGCCGACATTAGTGCGGGTAGGCTGCCGCCCCGCCCAACCGCGTTCACTCTAATCAGCATGAATACAACGCAGAGAGCAGCGAAACAGGAGTTTTAGGGTGGCTCTGAATTAGTTTTAGGGTGGCTCTGATTTGTCAAAATCCAATGTGCGAACTTCCGAACTCCTGCAAACATCCCCCAGTTTGTTATCGGTTTGTGGGATTTCAGATGTCAGGGCCAGTCCGAACAAATTTGGTGACCTCCATTAGATGGCCAAAAGTGTTCAGACCGTCCAATCTAGATATTTGTGGGCGATTTGATGATCCTCGTTAAAGTTGCAGGGTGGATTAGTATGTACTTTCTCCGTCCTTGAAGGAGTGTACTTGCAACTTTGTTGGAGGGTCAAACTATCTCAAAGTTTGATCGAGCTTTTATAAAAATATATCAATGTTTGTGAAATCAAATAGGTATATGATGAAAATATATTATATCATGAATCTAATGCTACTAATTTTTTTGCCGGTAGAATACCACGTAAAACTTGCCACCAAAAAACCCGGACTCTCAGAATGTCCTTGAGTTTCCACAAGGCGGTCCGTAAGTGTTTCTCTGACGATGAAGTTTCCGGTATCGTTCCTTCCTTTGGAGCTAAACGTTCTTTGTGAGTCATTAGAGCACGATAGGCCGATTTAACTGAGTAAACACCTGACGGTTCGCGAGCCCAAGCATAATAGTCCTCTCCATCTAATGCTCTCAAAGGAATATGTAAGATTGCCTCTGCATTGGTGCAAGAAAGTTTCATTGCACCAACTCCACATTCCATGCACCTCTCTAATCACCAATGAGTTCTGATACTAATTTGATGACATGAATGTTGGTGTATTATTATATAAGTACAGTCAAATATAAAATAGTTTGACTTTCCAACAAAGTTGAAAGTACACTCTTTCAAAGACGGAGGGAGTAAATCCCATAAAAGACATGGCAAAAGGTCAATTTCCCACCTTCCTCATTCTGCTTCCCCTCTTTTTCAAGAATACCGAGACAAGTTCTCCTATCAGTATCAAATAGAACATTTTGAACAAGATCCTCATGAAAATTCGAATAGATCATTTTGAACAAGATCCTCATGAAAACCTGCTCGATTTAGATCAGAAAAATCATACACATTTTATGAAACCATGTGCAATGGCTCGAATCCATACTCAATCCTACGTGAGTTCCCACAGTAGATTTCTCACATTTGTATTGCGAGTTTGCTTACCTAGGACATCCAAAAATCAGTATGCCGATTTCCTCAAAAAGTACCTTCACACTAGTACTATAGTCTATCTTCACAAATAAATAATGGAATGAATCAGCAGTCAAACTTGTGCACTCTCAGAGAGTCATAGCACCGACAAGCGACAAAGCACTCAAGCCATCTCGTGTCAAGCAGGCGTACTTAATGCCATGTGCCCAAGATTTGCCGGCCGCTCAGCACGCAACGCCATGTGAGCGAGGTTCACCATGAGAAACACACTCTGAGAGAGTGACAGAGAGACAAGAAAAACCTCTAGATCTGAATCGAATCCGATTGCTTAACCATCATCATTGACACTCCATTATTGAAATTGTACACAAATAACAAATGCAGCCGCCGTGCTGTACACGCACTACAGCGTAGGGATCTACACCGCCCACAGCAGTGACACTCCCAACAGTCTAACAGTGTGAGCCACACTGGCTTCAGTTCAGGACCAGATCAAGATTTGACTACTATTATCACCACCATCACCAGCTAGCAAGCCTTATTAGTATTATTGATTGATCGAAACCAGCATCACCGTCATCATACAGCTTGCGCTCGGGACTGACTTACCGGGTGCCGCCATGGCCGCCGGGAAGTCCACTCCACCGCCTGGTTAGCAGCGTGGAACCCGGCGGGGGGACGCACAACACACGCTAGAGAAGGTTCATTTACAGCGAGGCCTCCTCGAGGGGCGCTAAACAAAGCCTCGGATTTACATCGGCCAGCCTGTCGTGGGGGAGCTCTCAAAATGGCGGCGAGCGGGAGGGCGTGTCGGCGGGGGCCTTGGCGCGGCCGGCGGTCATGCCCGGCCGACGTGCTCGTGCCGCGGCCTCTCTCCCCTCGGGACGGATCTCCAGCCCCGGTGGTGTGTTTCGTAGTTGCTGCAAAGGTTGAAGGTAAGTGAAAGCATCAGCAATGCATCGTAGCATGGTACAAACGAAGGCTCCAGATCTTGAGATTTCGGGTTTCAGTGAGATGCATTGTTGGAAAATGACTGAGTTTGCATACTTGGGAGCCGCGGAGGTGGAACCGTGAGGTCTGACGTTAGAATGGTTCTTCTTGTAGAATCGAATGGAGATCAGGCTGCTATGCTCTCTAACCGAAGATTCAGGTGATCCGTGGAAGCTTACTCCAGATGCTTGCCTTGAGCAAAACCCTGTAGTGTAAAAAAAAACAAGGAAGTTCAGTGTGCCGTTATTTTCTGAAAACCAACGGCTTTTTGAACTACATGGCTTAAAAGTTGACTACTTGACTCAATATATATACCACAAGTGGATCTTTGCATTGCCCAACGTAAAAAATATGCCATCCGCAACTATGTCTAAACTAAACATTAACTCTTGCATTAATGACATTGATGAACAATTTGACAAGCAAGGACATGGTAAGAAACTAGTATAATGTGAACATTAATTAAGAGTCTGATATATACACATACAGTTGATTGCTCAATAATAAAACTGGCTGTTTAAATAAGGTAAATTCTAATGAACAGATAACAATACTGCCTAGATTCATGCTATGTACAAAAGATTTGATATGATTAATTGTTGAGTATATAAAATTTATCACAGGGAAATTTGTATTTGACAAGGTTAGTTTCAGGATCAAGAAAGGCTTTCCTTCATTTGCAAACATATTCTTGTTCTACCATACAAGTATGACAAAATATGAGATAGCAGCAATAATACTTTGAGGAACCCTGTTTATGAGATCCATGAATCCATGCATTTGGTATACCTTGCCAGAGTATGACGAGGCAGAAGATAATGGTGATGATCATTGGACAAAAATTGCTATTTGAGGAACCCTGTTTGCCATTCTTCATCTTCTTCAAAGCCTTCATCCGCTCAATCCTTGCCCGCTTCAACAAAGCGAGCTCATTCAGCTCATTGAGGAGCTTCTGGTCAGAAGCATCCAACGGCAAATGCGTCGGCGGCCTCGGTGGCCGCGGTGGTTTCTTGGAGCTGGACCGCTTCTTCTTTGCCTTCTCACCTCCAGAACTGTCCAGGAGGCCCAGCTTCTCCTCCCCTTCGGACTTCCTGTCATCTCCATTCTTGGAAGCGGTTTCCATAGCGGGCGAGGAACAATCCATGTGCTGATTCCCCTCATCCTTGGTGTGCATGACACGATTCAGCCCCCCATTTGGCGGTGTTCTGGGTGGGCTCACCGCAAAATTAGCATCCATTCCATGGCCATGCTCGCTGATAACAACGTTGTTCCCACTCTCCAGGTCGATCAGAGCATCCCGCTCGCTCGCGCCCTTGGCTTCCATCAGAACTGGAGAAACAACGCCTCTAAAGCATCAAGAGACAAAATCTCTGGCTCCCACTTTGACCCGGGACCAACACTCGGATCAAATGTGCTCCTCCCAAAACCGCAAGAAACAGCCTGCCTGCCTACCTGCACGGACAAGTTTGGCCACAAGTTAGGTCAGTTAGTTAAAAGTCAACATTCCACAGAGTTGTAACCATGGAATTCAAAACAATGGAAACCAAATTCAAGGCTTTCTCCGCCAGAATTACCAAACCATCAAACAGATCAGCACCCTGAACCGCGCCTAATCGCGACACGAAAATGGAAAACCAGCCATGTAACACACAAGGATAACAATGATAGGAGACACCACCAGAGTCCAAAGGGAGGTATAGATTAAAGGAGGGAAGAGGCTTCCTTGGATTCCAAGGACAGCTCGTCAAAAAGGAAGAGCTGCAACAACCCCCAAATACCTGAATCAAGAAGAAACCTGGGAGAGAATCACGCAAAGCCCCCAAATCTTTACCCTGCTTGAACGCCACATGCAGCAGGGCGCCGCCGCCGCCACTCCACCTCCGTCCACACGCACCTTTGCATTGCAATCAAATGAAGCATCGCACCCCATCGGTTACACATGGCGATGGCGGACGCGCTGCCCCTCCATTGTTTTCTGTTGCTTCGTCTCAGGGGAAACCGGCGAGGCGAGAAACAAATGGGTTCGGTTACGGTCTGGAACCACCACCATGTTTCCAGGGACAGCGACGGCTATTTTAGCTTTTCCCAAAACCGGAAGAATCTGGCGAGCGGGCGTCCGCATTTCAAGCCACTCTAAACAGGGGAAAGCAGAGCAGAGCAGGCCCCGAATTTGGTGCTGAGAGTAGCAACACAAATTTCCGCCCAAATCGGGGCAGTAAATCCGCCGAAAGGCAGGAGAAATTAATTAGTTCATTAACTAATTCGGCAGCTAAACAGGGAACCCGGCGAACCAAACGAACAAATCGGCGAAAATGTTTGGATTTTTGCTGGCCTATCCGGTCCTGGAAACAAGCGGAAGCGACGGGGGGAAGGGATGGGCGCGGAAGGGGACGAGCTCCGCAAGAATCCAAGGGAATGCCGCTCCGCCGAGCGAATCGAGACGGAGGAAAGGGACGGACACGCGGACGCGATGCATGAACGGGAGCGGAACAGCTCGAACAGAAATCATGGAGGCAATCCCCAAGCTACGATCCATGGTGGTGAGGAGGAGGCACCAAGTAAATAAAATCGAATAAAAAGATTCAAAACAACGGCTCTATCACGAACATATAATAATCAGCCGAAGCAAAAGAAGCCATCTTTCCGCCCAGCCCCATGGCCCGGGACGAGGAGCAAAACGAATCGAGAACCCCGACCCCTTTTCCCCCACAAATCAAGAAGAAATCCCCGACGAGTTCAAAAGGGGAAGCAGCGAACCCACCTATCAGCGCCGGCGAACGATGACGTAGCAGCGGCCGATCTCTCCGCGGCGAATGGAGACTCCGGGGCGGCAATCCAGGAGCGGGGCGCGGACCGAGGCGGAGGGGGGAGGCGAGCTGGCTGAGGGATCGAGGAGGAGGGGGGAGGAGGAGGAGGGGTCCCTGGCTGCCCTGGGGTGGGGTGGGGTGGGGTGGTATGGGTGCGGGCTGGAGCTTGGAAGCATCCGGATTTGCCTCGGATATCACGCGCCCCTTTTATTTAACCTCCCAGATTTGTTCGCTTTGTTTTCTTTCCCTCGGCTCCTTTTCGGGGGAGTGCCCGGGTTGGTGGGGACGAGACTGGGGCCGTCGGATCGGGGAACGGACGGCTCGGATCGCGTGGGAGCGGTGCCGAATTTAGGACGGCCGGGGGAGAAAAATGTCTTTTTTTTGGGCGAAAAAACAGGGGATTTTGTGGTTGCGGGGGGAATATTCGGTTTGTACTACGTGTCCTCCTCTTCGTCCTTTCTCGTGCGCGCTCGTCGGTCGTGCAAGCAATCAAGCCATCAAATAGTACGACCAGTCTCTCTCTCTCTCTCACACACACACTCGGCAGGGATTCTTCGAATTCAAAGAGTTTGTATTTATACGAAGAGCACTTTTGAAGCGGAATAATTGTTTGTGGTAGTATCGTTTTCCGTTGTGTGATATCTCTTGAATCCTCCGAAAAAGATAGAGAGAGGGAGGGGGAGGAGCTTTTTACTTGCCCGTGTTATAAACAAATGGCATGGATTGGCTTTGCGACCCTTATCTTATCTTGAGGCGTACGTATGTATGTAGAGACAACCGGCTCCCTCGTCTAATCTCCACGTACCGCCTCGGTTGTTCCACCCACAACTGGCAGCAGCAGCTGATAGTAAAAGAAAAGAAACGAATCGAGTGGATAACCAACGAACATCTGGAGCCCTACATGGCTACATTGCATCTCTCTCTCTCTCTCTCTCTCTCTCGCGCTACAGCTATCATCTACTATTACTACGAGTTCCATTGTTGTGCTGCCGTCCCGTCCCACGAGACAGACACGAACGGGCTCTATCCATCCATCCATCCAGCTTTTGCTTTGCTTTGGCCGTGGGGTCGACAAATGGAGATGGAGGTCGACATGTCTGCTGGACAGCTCGGCGACCGCGACGGAGTGCTGCGCTGCCTGCCGTCCGCTCGTCCGCTACGTGCTACGCAGTCGACACAAGAAAACAGGGCTTGATCTGAAAAACAATAGGAAGAAAGAATGGGTAGTGGCTTTGCTTTAGACATATCCAGAATCGCTGGTGCCCGATTTGTTTGTTGGTTTCGGCGTGCGAGACCTTCGTTTTGCTTTTGTGATGAAGCTGTGCACCTAGGGCACGACTTTCGTTTTGTTTTCTCGTTTTTGAGGGGAGACTTTCGTTTTGTTTGCAAGACCCGCGCTCATGACTTTCTGGTCAATGCATCCATTGGGTTTGATTTGACGACCTTTCTTTCTTTTTTTCCTTTGTCGGTCGTGGTGACACTATTCTGGCGTGGCAAGGTCATGAGACAATCGTGTTTTTAAATATATTAGTATCTCGTTTATATTCAAAAATGTGTCAGCAGACACACATTTCGTAACATCGACTCTAAGATAAACAAAAATAAATAAATACGATTGCCCTTATTCGTAGTATCGGTACAAACTATACCATTCTTGCACCGGACGATACCAACACTTCTGGCGCCGCGTCCTAGTAAGGTATCGGGCGGACGCTCGCGGTGAAGTGGAAGTCGTTGCGTCGGGATCGCTGTGTTGAGACTACATTTGAATGCACAGTGCGCCTTGTGTGACCGGCTTCGGCTTTCCCATGTTGACTTTGGTCTATGGTGGATGGCGTTACATTTCGCCCTCGTGCGAGTCGGCGCAATGTTTGCCTTTCAGGGATTATCGAGAAGCTATTGACACCTAGCCATGTATTTTGAAGACAACGCGTTCAGTCCAGCCTCAACCTGGAAGCGAATGACCAATTCAAGGCAACTAACGGTGTCATGTACTAGGGTAACTCGGGCCATCGGAAGGCGGCTCGCCTGAATGAGTAGATGCCCACTAGGCCACGCTATGGCCAGGCCCACGACCCTGCCTGCGGCCTCCCTAGACGAAGGAAGTCGGCTTGGGGTCCTAGACAAGCCGGCCCAGAGATCTATGGGGACTCTTAACCGCCGGAGCTGAGTAGGATGTCATGTAACCCTAGACTCCACCATCCTTTCTCAGGCGAGCTCGAGCTAGTCTAGGAGTAACATCATAATACGTTCAACCCCTGGATGCACCTACGAGATCATCCATGTAATATGTACACCCCATCCATCAAGTGCAATCGAATAGGAAGTAGAGTTCTACTCCACCGAGAGGGTTCGAACCTAAGTAAATCTTGATCCATGTTTCCCATGTAGGTAATCCGGCTAAGTGCAACACCCTACTGAGGGATCTGCCAGAATTTGAACCGGCGGTGGCGCGTCAGGCATGGTTTGCGCTAGTTGCAAACCGGATCCAAATGTGATCTAACTTCGTTTACGTCGACTGCGCTCCAGGCCGGATCTCCGCCATTGACGCTTTGAGCTTCGTCACCAACTTGGTGGGGCAACTCGACCTTGTCGCTCCCCTCACCGAGGGCCTGGTTCTCACCTTTGGGGGTCTGGAATTCGTTGCCGACCAACACGACGAGGCATGGCTCCGAAATCTGGCAAGAACTCGAAGAAACTAGAGGCCCAGCGCCAAAAAGATGCAGCGAGCGCATGAGCTTCGTGGAGAAACAGAGTTGGTTGTTGGCTTTCGTAGAACACATTCGAAAATGGTGAGCGAACCGTGCATCCATCGTCGACATGGTGGAGCTTGCAAACCAGGTTCGGTTGGATCGAGCCGGCATCTCCGGTGGTGCCGCAGGAGGCTCTCAAGACTTCCACATCCCTGCGAGCAACCTCATGGCTGCCACAGAGGAGATCATCGGCATTGAGCTTCCAGCCGATCACTCGACGCCGATACGGCTAACGCCGCCTAGAGAGTCACTACTAGGGATAAGCCTATAGTGTTCAAGAATTTCATAAGAATAGCTTTGTGTTCAAGATGCTAGTATATCTTTCTATAGAATTGATCAAAATTATACAAATTTGATTTTAGGACAAACCTGAAACTTGAATTATTTTGGAAGTGTTGGAAATGAGAGTTTTGGCAATGCTACACGATGTATTGATCGGTGCATAGCGCACGTATATATGGAGTACAAAGTGGGCCTCAACCTCAACTATATAATGACTAGGAGGTGGGCCGGGGTATACAATATATATGCACAAACCATATGTTCAACACCCCCCGCAGTCGAAGCGTCGCCGGAGACGCAAAGACTGGACCTGAACTCCTCAAAAACAGAAGTAGGCAGTCCTTTCGTCATGACATCGGCAAACTGTTGCGTCGTTGGGACGTGGAGGACCCGGATGTGCCCAAGAGCCACCTGCTCACGAACGAAGTGTATGTTGAGCTCAATGTGCTTCGTTCGACGATGGTGGACCGGGTTGGCGGAGA